CTTAGCCTGGTTCAAATTTGCTGCCTTGATATGTCACAGCCAAGTATGTGCTTAAAAGGTCTTTGTTCATTAGCCATTAATCCATTCAGCAAACATTTTGTATGCAGCGCTGGCTCCCAGATTTTGAATAGGCACTGGGGGGACACAGATTGCCAGCCCAAGGATTTCAGAGAGAGTATATGTGTGTCTGTCTGTCCATCTGCTGTTCGCCGGGGGTGTGGTGGGAACCTGGTAGGAGCAGTTGCATTTTAATTTTATTTTACTTATTTATTTGAGAAAGAGAGTGAGAAGGAGCAGGGGGAGCAGCAGAGGGAGAAGCAGACTCCCCACTAAGCAGGGAGCCCGATGCGGGGCTCGATCCCAGGACCCTGGGACCATGACCTGAGCCGAAGGCAGACGCTTAACGACTGAGCCACCTAGGTGCCCCAGAGCAGTTGCATTTTTTTAAAATTGCAATTCAGTGTGACAATTGCTACCATTGGTGCTAAGGGCACTTTTTTGAGTGATAATTAGAAAGAACAAAGGGGAAGCATCTGCGGCCACGGTAAAGAGCTAAATTCTTAAATAGCGTGGGGACAAGCAAGTGTAATTGCGGCAGATGAAGGGTGGTTCTCAGTACACACAGTCACATCCACACCTACACAATCACACATGCACACACACACATGCACACAGTCACACCCACACAATCACACCCACATGCACACAATACAAATGTCAAATAAGCATGAAAAGATATCCCACGTCACTCAAAATTTGAAAAATTTAATTGGAGAAATACCAAGATACATTATCTTCCCATCAGAGTGGAAAAAACAAACATTGTTTAAAGTTATAATGTAGACCCCCCCCCATACACTGTAAGTTAGAAAGCACTGAGACAGAATCTGTGTTGCCTCTGCCGGGGATGGTAGACCACTGTCCCCAGTGTCTCACAGAGACCCCCATCCCCGGAGACCCTCCCCACCACCACGTGACCCCCAGCTCCCCCGCAGGAGAGCTCTCTCCCACCCCTTGGCCAAAGGCATGAGAGCCAGTGTGAATGACGGTTGGGTCCAGACATATTAGGAGCCCCTGGGTGTCTCCCCGGCTCACTTATGGGGTAAGCCAGCGTGTTCCAGACGAGGGCTGGAGCTCCATCCCAGGCCCCAGAATGAAGACGCCGCCCAGCAGAGAACCCAGCGGGACTTAGCTGACGTGTCTACCAGGATGTAACGTTAGCAAGAAATAAACTTCCATTGTTTGTAAGCACTGAATGTAGGGGATTGTGTTTGAAACCTCAAGCTCATCTAGCGAAAGCTGACCATAAAACCTTCTAACCCGGTAGTTGCCTTGCTGGTAACTCACTTAACTGGCAGACAGTCTTACCTGTGTGCGAAGATATGAGCACGAGGGTTTTCTGCAACACCATTTATGGTAACAAGAAACAGAAGGAACCAGCCTAAACTTCCATCAGTAGGGAAGGCACCGAATAAACGATCATTTGGCCATATAATGGAATATTGTACATCTGTTAAAAGAGCTTCGCAGCCTTTACAAATATTTGTATAATTGTGTATTACAGCATTTACCGTTCTGCAAGTTTTTTTCATGCAGCAGTATATTCTCCATCTTGTCCATGTCCTTGGATGTGCAGTTGCTCACTCGTGCGCCTGCTCATCTTCTCTGTGTGAATGCACCGCATCTCGGCTGCCCCTCTGCTCACGGCCAGCCGGGCCACTGTTGCTGAGGCATAGTTGCCGCCCAGAACGGTCTACCGCGAGCCTCCTCGTGGGCGTGGGTGTGGGCGTGCGCGTGTGCAGGGTGCCTGCAGGACGTTCCAGCCCTGGAGCGGCCCAGCCGTGCCCCACCAGCGCCGTCAGACCCCAGGCCCATGCTGACTTGCGCTGCACGCACGAGCTTCCTCGAATGCCGCTTGTGTGGCCTCGCCCCCCGGCCGCTCTATTAGCTGGCGTGGGCCCTAGCCAGGATTGTGGGTACATACCATGTGGCAGAGAGACTTTCTAAGTGTGCAGGGAGGTACCAAGGAGCAATTGCCTCTGGGAAGGGAGCAGGCGGAGATCAGGAAAGGGTGGACAAGTGCCCTCAAGTCTGTGTTCTATGTTTTATTAAAAAAAAAAAAAAAAAAACAAGAACTAAGGCAATAGGGTGCAACCTTAAGATTTGATAAAGCTGCCAACTTACATGCAAGTGTTTTTATGTTATTTGTATCTGTTTGTTTAAAATATCTGCTTATGTGTAAATATGACCACAGAGAAGCATCTTAGGACTTTTCAGAAGCGCTTAGGTCCCTTCTGGGAAGCGGGGGTCAGAAGCGTATTGTACTTGTCACTCTACTCCTTTCTTTAGTGTTTGCATTTTTTTTAGAAACATATTATCAAGTTCATGAATTAAAAATTGAGGAGGGATGAGTTTCTGATTGTATGGATGAGATGAAAGACTTCAAACTCTCAGAACCTGTGTTTTCTCATCTGTAAAATATGGGTTAGAAGCATCTACTTCATAGGGCTGCTGTGAGGATTATGAATTATTCATATTATAGATCTTGCAGAGCACCTTTACGTAGTAGGCACTAAATAAATAATAATTGTTTACATTATTAATAAAAATGTAGGATACGCTCTGTTTGCAAATTTACTCACCCTGAAATGTGCAAAGAAAATAGATGTAGTTTCTTTATTTCTCAATAAGTGATCTGTTCTTCCACATGAGCTCCCCACGGGGGAAAATGGATCTTGGAGCCAGGAAACTTAGTTTGATTCAATAATTTAAACCCACAGCCAATGTTTAAATCCCTCTCAGTAAGTGCTGTCTCTTTAGATTTAAACACCCAGACTCTCAGATCACTGCTGCCCGCCCCCCCCGGGGAGATGGTGTCAGATTTATCAAATAAAAATGCAGGACAGGGGCGCCTGGGTGGCTCAGTCGTTAAGCGTCTGCCTTTGGCTCAGGTCGTGATCCCAGGGTCCTGGGATCGAGCCCCATATCGGGCTCCCCACTCCGCAGGGGGCCTGCTTCTCCCTCTCCCACTCCCCCTGCTTGTGTTCCCTCTCTCGCTGTGTCTCTCTCTGTCAAATAAATAAATAAAAATCTTTTAAAAAAAATAAAATAAAAATGCAGGACACCCAATTATATTTAATTCCAGGTAAACAACAATTTTTTTAGTGGTAAGTCCCAAATACTGCATGGGACATATTTATACTAAACCAAACCAAAACAAAACACTGTATTGTTTATCTGAAATTAAAATGTAACCAGATATCCTGCATTCTTTTTGGGCAATCCTATCTAATGGGTGAATGGTGGAGGAGGGAAGGGGTAGGGGGAATAAGACCCCTGGGCCTCCCGGACTTTGGATGTGCCCTGGGCAGTGTCTGGGTCCAGTCCCTGGGCCATGGACAGGCTCTGAGGGCCATGGCTGGTGCAACCCACAGTCTGTCTCTCAGCTTAGCCGGGGCCTGGCTGAACCAGTCCCATCTTGCTCCTCAGTGGCACATCCTCTTTGGGCCTGGACTAGGACCTCCACTCGATAGCCACCGCAGTGGGGTCTCTAAGTCCTCAGAATAGCGGGATCTATGGCAGGTTTCCAGGCTCTCAGTGGAGCCGCTTATCATGTGGTCCCAGAGAAACATGCAAGAAGTTATGATGATCCCAGGGAAGCTCAACACCAGCCATCCCTCTCCCCAAACAGTACCTGTCCTCTGGCTCAAATGTGGCCACCCCTGAGTTCAGAGCGTCCCCGCATCCCCAGCCTGAAGCAGAGAGCAGGCGGCACCCTGGCCACGGTGTCCCCGCCATGGCCCTCTCTCCCTCTGCCCCCCTGCCTTCCTCCTGCCTCCCACCTCCTCTCTCTGCCTTCGTTGTGCCCAGTCCCCCAAGCCAAGGGGCAGCCCTCCCCTGCTCCTTCTTGGATGCTCTGTGACCCCCACTTAGCATTCACTCCATGAATATGAAATCAAGCACCAACTATATTCCGAACACCATCTAGATGCTAGAAATAATGGCAGTGAGTAAGACAGCTCTTCTAGAGCTTACACTCTTGTGCAGTTGAAGACAAACCCAGTGAGCAAATACTGAAAATCCCCGTCCTAAGGTCCCAACTTCACAGAACGTAGCAGGGAAGCTCTCTAAACGGGGAGGGAGTACGGACGGGTAGGGGCTGATGGCATAGTCAAGGAGGCTCCCGCTGGGTGGGTGGAGAAGGCATTTCAGCAGAGACTGGAATGAGGAAAACTAGCAAGCATGCCAGTGTCTGGGGCAGAGGGAACAGTGGGCGCCCTTCCAGCCTGCAGAAGTCCAGCTGGCTGGAACAGAGTGAATTCACAAAGGGGGCAGAGCAGAGGCCAGAACGATCGCCTGCCACATAGTATACTTTCAAAATGATACAAAAAATAATTTGGAAAGCCCCTTTTGCTTTCTGGACTCTCTTCTCCCTCAAGAGAACAAGGACATTGACCAAGACGGAAGCCAAGGAGGGCCCCTCTGCCCGGAGCCGGACCTTCCCTCACACCTCTGGGCTCTGGGCTTCCTGACGGCCTCGGAGCTGGAAAGCTGCAAGCTGACGTCACGCAGGGGGAAACAGACACACAGGCCAACATCCGCACAATAGCCCTGCTAGGTTAGTAAGTGTTTGCGAAGAGTCACAAGAGGCCAGCAGAGGCGACGACGTCTCCGGGACGAACCCGTCCAGGACCGCCGCTGGAATCATTCACCGGAACTTGATGCCCTGTGTGTGATCTGCGTCAGCACAGGGACCGTGGAGCGAGGAGGGAGTGCACCAAGGGCGGCTCCGTGGAAGGCTGTTTGTGGTTTTCCGCAACGTGCATATTGGGAGTTTGAGCCGGGTTCCTTGTGATTACCAAGGGCACGAAGTCAGGCAGGTAGCCTGCGACAGCCCGCTGTGTGCGAGCTGTAAGGAAGGCTAGATTCGCTTGTGTGTCAGATAAACTAAACAGCCTTCTCTCTGTTTCTTCTCTGGCTTCTCCTCTCTCCCCACTCAGGTCCTGGAGTCCCCACGGTGACAGTGCACAACACAACAGATAAGAAAAGTAAGTGCCTCTTGCTCTTTTCTGGAATCTTCCCGTGCCGTGGGAGAAAGGAAGCCGAAGTTCTGTGAGAGAATCCAGCCCACGTGTTCTGATTTGGAGACACAGAGATGGTGCTGTCCTAGCAGTTCAGAGTGACCCCCACAATGGCCAGCATTGAGCAATGTGGTGGACGCGCAGGGCCACGCAGCCGGAAGAGGAGCTGAGGCCCGGAGACCACTGCAGCCATTGCAGGGCCCGTCCGCGGCCCTGAACGGAGCCCAAGGCCCAGAGCTCTGCAGCCTGGCCCTCCACTGGGGGCTCCACGGGCACTTTGAGGCTCACCTGCCCTTGTGGGTAGGGGACGCCTTCATGGCATGAGGGGCTTTCACTTGAGGCCCTCCCAGCACATTTTTTCTTGGAGGGACCCCATGCAAGTCGAATGCATACTCGTGTATTTATGCAGAGGATCGGAAATGATGCTTCCCGTCCCAGGCAGACCCTCGGTAAAGCTGAGAATGAAGAGAACGTGCCCTTAGCCCCTCCCTTCCTTGGCCTTCCTCTGCCCTGTCCCCGAGGAACCCCACTGCTTCCCTCCTCCCGACCCCCCACTCTTTCCCACTGTGGTACCACCTGCCCTGGCAGGACCCCGCTCTGTGTCTTGCCTTCTAAAGGAAGGTCAGACCTCAGGCCCCGATGGCAGGCGTCTCTCTGCATTTCCCTTGAATATCAAGGCATCCCGGTGTCGGTGACTCGATTCCTGGCCTGGTGGTCGGACTTGGAGCCCAGCTGGCACGGGGGGGGCGTGGAGTGTGGAAGAGGGGGTCTCCAGTGTTCTATTTAGACACTGGTTAGAAAGTGGCCAGAGCGTTCAAAGGTAGATAAAATAGACTGATTTTAAGAAACGTCATTTAGGGAGTAATCCCCAATGATGACGGTATTTCACAAAACTTATCCAATAATTACTAGAGATTCCAAAGTAAAAGATAACATCAGGAATAGATTTTTAAAATCACTTAAAATGCAAAGGAAGTCCAAAAAAGGGCTGTCAGACGGATACGAAACCCACTCAAAACACTTGTGTGGCCATCAGTGGGGGGAGAATACGGGGAGAGGGCTACGTTGACCTTCCTGTTGTCCCCCTGGGGGGTGACAGTGTTCTGGGCACAGGGGTGCCCGACCCCAGGCCTCATCTCCAACACAACTGGGGAGCCTTCTAGGAGCCTGTGAGGTTTGGGGGTCTGGCCACGTGTCCAGTAGGGACGGGGTGTGATGTGCGATGGTCTGGGCTGCACCCCACCCAGCCACAGGCTGCCCACTCTTGTGGGTAGAAGGGCTTGGAGGGTCCAGGGGAGGCTGCCTGAGGGGTCCGGCCAACGCTCACCCCAAGGCAGGCATCTGTGGGGTTGACAGACACAGCCTGGCATGACAGCCCTCTTTTAAAAGTGTTCATGCTAGAATCTCTTTCAGTGATTCTCACTTTGAAGCATGGAAATATTTCAGAAAGCCTCAACTGGACTATCTTTTTTTCTGAAGAAAACTTGTACTATTCACTTAGAGGACTTGTTTAAATGTAAGAGTACATAGACAGTGGTGTGTGTCTGATAGAATATTAGCCATCAGAAAGAATGAAATCTTGCCATTTGCAACAACATGGATGAAGCCAGAGGGTACTATGCTAAACAAAATAACTCTGTCAGAGAAAGACAATTATCATATGATTTCAGTTATATGTGGAATTTAAGAAACGAAACAGAGGATCATAGGGGAAAGGGAGGGAAAAATACAATAAGATGAAATCAGAGAGGGAGACAAACCATAAGAGACTCTCAACTCTAGGGAACAAACTGAGGGTTGCTGGAGGGGAGGTGGGGGGATGGGGTAACTGGGGGATGGACATTAAGGAGGGCATGTGATGTGATGAGCACTGGGTGTTACATGCAACTGATGAATCACTGAATTCTACCCCTGAAACTAAAAAAAAAAGTACAGAGATAATTTCCTGACATTTTATGAAGTTTTTCCCTTCTTTAAAATCTGTGGAATGATGCACACTGAACAGGGTGTGTGGTCAGTGTCCTCGCTGGATGCTGCACCATGTCGCAGAGGGTGTCACTCTGGGGGGAAGCTGGGTGTGGGGTGTATGGGACACTAGGCCCTATTTTTGAAACTTCTTGTGAATTTATTTCAAAATAAAAAGGGTGTTTGTTGTTTTTTTTTTTTAAGATTTTATTTATTTGACAGAGAGAGAGACAGCGAGAGAGGGAACACAAGCAGGGGGAGTGGGAGAGGGAGAAGCAGGCTTCCCATGGAGCAGGGAGCCCGATGCGGGACTTGATCCAGGACCCTGAGATCATGACCTGAGCTGAAGGCAGACGCTTAACGACTGAGCCACCCAGGCGCCTCCCCCCTTTTTTTTAATTTATAGTCTAGTAAAAACACAAAACTATTTCTAGGTGCTTTTTTTCCACCTTTTTAAAGAAAACTAGGTGTGGGGGCGCCTGGGTGTCTCAGTCGTTAAGCGTCTGCCTTCGGCTCAGGTCATGATCCCAGAGTTCTGGGATTGAGCCCCGCACCGGGCTCCCTGCTCCACGGGAAGCCTGCTTTTCCCTCTCCCACTCCCCCTGCTTGTGTTCCCTCTCTCGCTGTCTCTCTCTCTGTCAAATAAATAAATAAAATCTTTAAAAAAAAAAAAAAAAAAGAAAGAAAGCTAGGTGTGGCTCTTCTTAAGAAAGCCATTCACTTCCACACTCTGACTTGCTTCCCTGGAGGACGCTGTTGGGAATCTGTCCTGGTCAGGGGTGATGCGGCGCCTGCGTCTGAGGAGGCCTTGTGCCCGGTAGCCGCACTCAGGCTTGGCCGTGACCACAGCTCCAGGGCTGTGGGGGCCGGGAGTGTGAGCCCATGTGCCGAGTGCCAGTCCCCACTTTTCCCCGTCGGGCTTATGTGGGGATGAAGCCGGCCTACATCCTACATGCTTCACAACAGTAATGGGACAGGTTGCCTATTCTGTTTATAAAATGGGGCCACGTATGTGCGGCACACGGCACTCAGCGAGCGTCCGGGTAGGAATTCGCCATGTGCCCTCCAGCATGGGCAGCGGGGGAAAGCTCTCGGTCTGGGACGGCTCCCTAATTCTGCTGGGAAACCAGACGAGCCCCTTCTTGTCGCCCGGTTGGTTGGTTGGCTGCATGAACCGCTCTGCCCAATCGGCCCCAGGCTCTGGAGGTTGCAGTCGTCCATGTTCTGTTGGGGACCCCCTAGAAAGAGGTGTTTAGAGAAGCTTTCACTGTTTGGGGCTCAGGGGCCACGGTCGCAGCTCTTTCCCAAAGGAAAGAGCGTGGCCCACGGACGGGAAATGGAAGCATCTGTCCGCCGCCTGCCGTCAGCTCTGCGTGGGGGCGCTCGGTCTTCTCCCTGTGAAGGTGACACTGCTGTGCTCTCTCTCAGCAAAGCGCTGATTAACGGGGACCCGGACAGCATCTGTGCCACGCGGTGATGTGGGGCGTCCATTACGAGCCCGGGTACCGTGTCGGACCCCGGTTTTCCCGCAGCCAGATTCACACTCTGGGGAGCTTTCCTCCCGACCTGGCCCGTTGCTGCGTCACTAGCTGTCACTGCAGCTCCGCGGTTTCCGGAATATGGACGCCAGCCGCCAGGCTGATACAGAACGATCCCGTGGTTGAGCTGCTGGGGGGGTCCCCCAGCCCAGAGCAGAAGAGGCGTGGGTCAGGGTCTGATTTACACTCAGGCATGGCGGTCGGAGGCGAGGCGGAGAGGCTCCCGGCCGCCCACTGCCCCGACACGGTGCCTGGGGTGGTGGAATCCCTGTGGGTCAGGGCGTCGGGCCTGCACCACGGCTCTTCACGTAGGAGAGCCTCGTGTGTCGCTAGGACCCGGCTGTGTCACGGAAGGGCCCAAGAGTGTGGTGGCCCTCGCGGCTCTCGGCGTGCGTCCCCACCTGCTGCAGCACGCCCTCCCGCCGGCCCGCACGCATGTCCTCACTTCCAGCCTCCGGCCACTCCGGGCCCGGAAGGCAGGGCTCGGGTGAAGTACGAGGGGGTCCCGGTGACCGGCTTCCTGTGAGCACCTGCGACGCATCCTCCGACTCCCCGCGTTCCTCTTGCTGGTCCCGGCTTCTCGCCGCGTCCCACTGGCTGCACAGAATGCCAGGAAGCAGCTTTCATCCTGGCTCCGTGCCCCTCGGGTAGAATCAGGGGTCCATTGACGAGTGGGGACAGCCGCTGGGGACGCCACCACCAGGATCTGAGTGCATGTCCCCCAGAACAGCGCTCCCCAGAAATGCATTCCATTGCAGCTCCGGAGGCTGCAAGCTCAGGATCGGGGTGTCGGCAGGGTGACTGTTCGGAGGCTGTGACGGGGAGGCTGTCCCCCAGCTTCTGGTGGCTACTGGCCACTTCTAGCGTTCCTTGGCTGGTACGAGCATCACCGTTCCTCTTCACACGGCCTCCCCGTGTGCATCCCTGTATCCAAATCTCCCCTTCTTATAAGGACACCGGTCATATTGGATTAGGGCCCCTCATGGCCTCAACCCAACTTGTTTCTTCTGCAAAGACCCTAATTCCAAATACGGTCACCTTCATAGGCACTGGGGTGAGGACATCAGCATCTTTGGGGGACATAGTTCAACACACAACACAGCAAAACAAGGGTTTGTAATTCATTCCCACGAAATCCAGGTCGTGTGATCCTTGTTGCTCTCCTAGGAGGAAACTGGGGTTGCAAGTTCCTTCTAGACTGTGGCCCATCACCATCACCCCGCTTCTGGCCATGCGGGCGGGAAGAAAGAAACAATTTTGTGGGATTTGTTGGAGTCTAGCAGTGGTAGGCGTCATTTCCACCAGCCAGAATTCCCTCACGGGGACCCCCCTAGATGCAAGAGAGGCCCCGGAAGGAGGGAGACAGGCCGACGGGTGCTAGCAGTCAGTGTCACAGGAGGAAGGACTGTGGGTCTAGGACGCACTGGCTAGCTTTGCCAGTCCCTGAGAGAGGTGACCGAGTAC